GAGTGCCCTTTGCACCCTGACAACCATGTCCTCGCCTCCCTTTGTCATTTCCTCCAGCCTGCTTAATAAGTGAGATCTCTCTCTCTCTCTCACTCTCACTCTCACACACACACACACACACACACACACACACACACACACACACACACATTGTGAGAGCAAGCCAGAGACGAAGAAAAAAGAGAGAGGGTGTGAAGCTGTGTATATTGTACACAAAGCGACTGACTGAATGAGGATTGGATACATTTCTTATTTTGAACAACTTGTCTAGGTGCTTTAGCCTCGTTAACTGGGCTACAATGAACAAATGAGGTCTTTAAAAAGCGGAGGTGTCTCCAGTGCCGATACTGCAGACAGTCAAAGCATAAATGAACAAGGATGATGATTTGTGTTGTTAAACTTCAAATCAACATTGAGGCCATCTCTATCGCTGCTATTCAGCACCTGTGAACATAAGAGGATACGGTGAAGGCAGTTTACAGTTTGTATACTTTTACACGGGGTTGTAAACTGTTAATGATTGAAAAATAATTTACCTGGAGATTTAATTAGGTATGAAAAGATGTCATGGCACGACTCCTCCGGCTATCGGGTGGCCGTGGAGAAGTCGGGAAGACTCACTGTGCTCACTTTCACAAAGTGCCTCGATCTCTCTGCAGTCACATGGCTCCATATGTAGTTTGCACACATATTCAGAGCAAATACGACGGATAAGGAATATCAGTTCATGTGCTTTTAAGGGGGTACTCTAGCAAAATCAAAGCAGAGGCCGAGATATCGATATCAAGCTCCAGCTCGATGGCGTCTTTCATTACACTTGTCTTTCACACACACACAATGCCCCAGGTTGTAACAGACACACCGACTATAAATGTGATTACTTCAAGCCCAAATTGAAATAACCCTGATGTCATCATTTGGGTTATTTTGTCCAACTGTGGAGCACTCCCTCCACAGCCATTTTACAGATGTTAGTACTAACTAAGTAGTACTAACCATGACGAGTAAGCTGGACCTGATGTGTATGATCAAGCTTCATTTTTAAAAAAAATAAGCAAATAGGTGGATGGTTGTTTTTTTTTAAAGTACAACCGCTACGCTAATATCCATCTCTGGAAAAGGGAGGGGGGGGGGGCGGGGGCAGTACTACAATCTCTAATCTTTTCCCCCAAAGTTTTAGGCCGTGCCAACCGGTGGCCTCCCTGCTTCTGCTCGATTATATGAAAGTATTACAACATTACATTATTGTTCGCACACACAGCGAGCACTGCTGGAGAGGTCAGTTTGCCAGCTGGGCAACGAGAGAACCTTTGCACACGTTTAAGCACACACACAGGCACCATAAACAGATGGTGTCTCACACACACACTTCTATGTACAAGATAGAGATATGTTGTTCACACATGACCAAGTCTTTTGTGTTGCTGGCCTAAATATTACACTCACTGATAGGCGATCATATACACAAGCCAGTCATTCACACCATTCTAGCAAATCCTTTCCCTTTAAATTCCAAATTGTCCATAAACAACTATAATCCACTCTGAGTTGTCTTTCTCACACTCACACACACACACACACACACACACACACACAATAAACGTACCTGTGCTCACCTCAGAGACGTTATCATTGCTTTGTCATGAGTTACTGTCACTCAGTGATTGCATCATCTGACAAAGCAATAATCTGTGTTTCAAAAGAGAGTTTTGGAAGACAAGTGTGCTGCCTGGGAAATAATTTCAAACAAAGCACTTTTCAAAAGTACTTTCTAGAAGTGAACTTACAGAATATAGACTGGAAACTGGAAGTCTGTAAGGTGGGCTCATGTTGCGGTAGTTTTTTCCACTGTTTTGTACAGGCAGTAATAAACTTATTTTCACAGCCTGAGATCACGCGCACACACAATTGGTCACTTCAGCACACCCCAGATGTTCAAAGCACTGCGAAAAAGAAAAAGCAGTGAGGACTTTCTGCTCCTCTGATGCGGTCTGGGAAATAGCAGAGCGTCTCTGAACAGGAGCGTGAAGGCTTCCCTCACAGGGCGCTGTCCACCACTTGAAAAGTAGCTCCTCTCTCTCTCCATAACATCACAATCACTTTGTACGGAAATCAGGGTTTCCAGCAGAAGAGTCGTTAGGCCAAGTGTTTTTTGTTTGTTTGTTGTTTTTTTTTTTGGGGGG